ATTAGATATGTTAGGCTTACACAGGTGAGTGAGAGTGAATAAAGTTCAATTTCATTTCATACAACCAACCAAACACACACACACGCACTCACTCACTCATCTAGAGGTAATGTTCACAATTTCTTCTTTACTTACTCTCAACAGGTAGATCATACGCTCTCTTTTACTCTAGAAACAAATACCCCCATATGTATTTGTATTAAAAACAAATCTCAGCACTCACACATGAACACAAGTAGCTGTAAATTTTGTTATTAAACGAAATTCGCCGCAATCATCTCAATTTACTGTTGGCGCTCTCTCTCCCGATAAACTATACACAGGTGTTTCATTCTTTTGGTTTGTTTCCACACAAGTCACGTACTGGCAGATGGATGGATATGTGTGTTTTCCTGAGTTAAATTCGCCGTAACAATTTGATGAGTAGAAATAAGAAAAGAGTATTGAATGTCATGTGAGAGTAAGTAATACAGGTGAGCAGAGCAATAGGTGGGTAAAATAAAACAACAACAAGTTTGCTAGATTCAAATGCTATGTATTCTTATCGTCACAATGCGGCGAGTTGCCAACCTTTGTTTTGTATGGGTTGTAGGATAATTGCTGGCGTCGCCCGATGTCCTTGGCCAGTTAATAAAACTGTAAGAATTGGGAGTTCTGTAGGGAAACTCATTAATAATTCTCTGTGAAAATTTTTAGTGTAAGAAATTTATGATGAAGGGAAAAGTATTGTACTTTTGGTGGGGAAATTATTACATTTCTATGTTCCCACCACAAAAAGTATCAAGGGTATACAGGGTGAGATGAAAAAACTGCAACCAACATAAGACTGCTGTTATTACTAGGCCATTCGTCCGACAGCTGTTAAAATTATTCCAGTGACAACTCATTATATTGTTTACAAGCGTACAACAAAAAGCATCTTGGTCAGAATTTTCCAGAAAAAAAGTCATTCGCTATGGAATTCAATCGTGATAGTGTGATTTCTTTATGTTTGGCTGGAAAACCACAAGTGACTATCGTTAGAGAACTCCAGCATTTAAATCTGAATAAATCTTTTGTGTCTCGTACCATCACTCGTTACCGTGATACTTGTAGCGTAGCCCGACGTCAAGGAAGTGGACAGAGGAAAACACCAACATCAGCAGAAATGGTTCGAAAAGTAAAGAAGCGACTTGACCGAAACCCGCGTCGCAGTGACCGAAAAATTGCTCGTGAGCTGAACATATCGCAATATTCCATTCGGCAAATATTGAAAAATGAGCTCGGGGTAAAGCCATTGAAATTACAAAAAGTGGAAGAAATTACACCGCAACAGAAAGAAAATAGACGCAAAAGAGCTAAAGAGTTGCTTCGCTTGGCCGAAAGCCGAATTTGGTTTTCTCAGATGAGAAAACATTCTTTACTCAGCAGTTTTAAAACAAAATGATCGTTTTACTTGCCAAAGAGGTCATCTGAAAATGCGCACCTTCTGTTGGCCACCAGAACTCAAGCGCCGTCCATGGTTATGATGGGCCGCCATAACAGCCGATGGTCGCTCTACGCTTGTATAATCTACCGTGACATCAGAAGAAATGCCGAACATTATCGCGAAAATATTCAGGAGGGTGTATTAAAGCCTTGGGCACGCAAACATTTTGGCCGCAGACCGTGGACATTCCAACAGGACTCAGCAAGCGCCACCGACGAAATAAGCTCTTCGCTTCATTTGCAGCACAGAATGGCCACCAAAATCTCCGGATACCAATTCGTTGGACTATTGTGTCTGGAGTATTTTGGAAAGCAATGTTGGCACTAAAAAATACCAAAGTGTCGATCACCTCAAGCAAGCGCTTTGTCGGGAATGGGCCAAAATACCCCAGAGCATCATTCGGGCAGAGTGTGATGGTTTCATTGGCCGTTTGAAGGCCATAATCCGTGCCAAAGATGACCAATTCCAACAAATCTAGGCTTATTCTAAAATTTAATGCTATCTCCGACATTTTTTGCTTTCATTCATTAAAATTAAAAAAAAATGTAAAATTTATGGCGTTTGACTTTGTTGCAGTTTTTTTATCTCAGTAAATTAATAAACTACATATAAGTTATATAATATATCACCGAGTATCTGAAGAAACCCTGACAATTGTTATACCCTCCTGCAACACTATGTGTTGGGGGTATTATAAATTTGAGGGTGGTCAAAAATTATGTAACACCTCGAAATAGTAGTCCCGACATAGGAAACTATATACGGATCTTCCTATCTCGCCGCTGAGCTGAGTCGATCAAGCTATGTATGTCCGTCCGTCCGTCTGTCCATGTTAAAATGTAATCACGCTACAGGTCGTAATTATGGACCGATCCTCACGTTATTAAGAATGGAGGTGTGGTTAAGGTCAAAATAGAACCATATTGGATGATGGCAAAATATTCCGGGGTTGAAATGGACCAAAAACAGACACATTTCCTGATTTTGCAGATGCTCTACAGGTCGGAATTATAAACCAAACGACACGGAATTTAGCATGGGGCTAGAGTTTGGGGCTGGGCATAAGCTTGACATTTTGTTTGGTCATCGGACAAAATTGGCGGGTAAAATAAACCATAACTTTTATATCAAACAATACGAAAATTTCCACTAAACCGAGAATATTTCTTATTCTGGCGAAATCACAAATACATCAATAGGTCACTTTTGATCATTACAGTGATGCTGATAGCCAGGAAATGGGATAGATAGCAAAGTAAATTTTTCCCGATTTTGCAGTCGCCTTACGGGTCACAATTAAAAACCAATCGACATAGAATGTTGTATGAAGAGGGAAGAAGTCGAGCATTTTGGAAATTGTTTTTTTTTTTTTTTGTAAATATATGAGGCAAAAGCGCCGGTCAAAAACCAAAGGTAACATTTGTGCAGGACCGTATGGCATTATTTAAAAAAAAGAGGCAAAAATGTGATTGGACCTAAGGAGGTTTTCCCATACATGTAATGTTTAAGGATACCACATGGTCGGCCCCGCACGACTATAGCCTTTGCTTTCATGTTATGTATAACATTGAATAAATGATTTAAATATCCTATAAAAAACAATCAATATTTATGTTGCTATATTATGAAAGGATGAGCTGTTATTTTACATCGAAAATAACAAAAAAGTCTTCTTTGGATTATTTGGATAAATATTATAATTTTAATATTAAACATTGGATAAAAAACCGACCTGTTTTTCCAAATTGGAATTTTCCACAGACAATCCTTCAGAAAAGTGAATATTTCTTTCTTCTCATAATTGAGCCAATTTTCTTAAATAAAGTTGTTATTGACAAAAATTATATTTTTTCAATTTTAAGGATTATGATATTGCATCATTATACGTCGCTCAAATTAAGACAACAATATTTATATTACCATTTTATTTATACATAAAATGCCATCCCGCACTGAAAATATCCCTTAGTGTATTCCGCTGAATTCCATTATTTAGACCCCAATTAGGGAAATAATTAAATCAAAATCATCTTGATCGAAAAATACAACCATTAATTTCCCCTGAAATCCATTAAAAATTAATTTAATTATCTTCTTTTTAAAAAAGCCATAAAATCAAAATAAAACTGTTGTCCAGCAGCGATTAAAAATGGATAAAAAAAAATATGTCAAACAAAAACATTAAACTCCCATTTGATTATCTAAATTAATCTAATGATATTGATTCTTGGTTTTTATAACACGAGATAAGAAAAGAACTGTAGCAGAGCAATAAAATGTTTGACAGCATTTCGGAACAAACATTTGAAAATGTTTGGCTTTGGGGTTGCCATGATTTAAATATGAAAAGAAGTAAAGCAAAACAAAAGACTTAGGCAACAAACGTGATGTTAAGTATTTGGGACAAAAAGCGCCCAGCAAACATTATTTTTCGATGCTGTTAATGATGATGAACTTCGTCATCATCGTCGATACATCAAAATGCATTTAAAATGCAATAAAAATTAAGACAATGCTTACCAAAAAACAACAAAAACCCCCCGAAACTACAGCCATCGTTAGTTTTCAGAGTCAAGAGCGTTTGTTTTCCACCCATACCACCAAAACAAAATGCAAAAAACCCTATATCCCATAGACATGCATACAGATTTCTGCAGAAGACATCAACAAATGCCCGCACACCATTACCTGTGCAGCAATGCAACTTAACTTGTTTGAGACGGCGACGAAGACGACGAAGAAGAACAAGAAAAAACCGGCAAAATTTTGATATTGTTTTTGTTAGAGTTGTTACCTCTACCTTGACTTTGGTATGGTCTTTGCTAAGGCTAAGATATTTGCTGATGTCGTCGTCGTCGTTGTTGCTGTTGTTGTTTTTATTGTTAATGGAAAATAAACACAAACACACACACACCCATACAAAAACTGCATGAGAACGGTTATGTGAGCACATAAAGCAAACAGAAAAATACTCTGAGGGAATCATATTTGAGAGAGAGAGAGGGGGATCTAAAGAGAGAAAATAAATGTTAAAATAATAAACAAACGATTGAGCAAACAAACAATCATTCCTACATATCTAAAGAACCTAAGAGCCAACAAAAAGAACAACAACACCACAGCCTGTTTGCCAGCAATTGATGTTAGCGGCGTCAGCGTCCGACCAACGATGTAGCTGACAGCAGGTAAAACCGTTGCTTTTGCAGAACCCCACTAAACTGGCAAAAAAGAACAAGGCAACAACGCAGCAGTAGCCACAACAACAGCAACAACAACGGCATTCTCCAGCAAAAGTAAGTTAGTATGCGAAGACTGAAAGCGAATTACAAACAGCTATAATGCTTTGGCAGACTTTACCACTACCAATGGAGACCATACAAAAAAATTCACACAGCGAGAGAGAGAGAGGGAGAGTGCAGAAAATTGAGATAGAGACTGAAGGCATGGAGCCATTTGGGGGCTTGGAGCAAGCATTAAGTTGAGCATACTAGCATGAGAGTTCGGCCAACACGTAATTGCCGTTTGTTGGACTCTCCATATGACGCGCGATCGTCATTCCTTTTGAAACCGTTCTCTTGGAAACAACGCGGCTTACGGTTGTTTTGCACTAAAGCGGTGTTCGCACAACCAATGTGGGTTGTTGTTTTTGTAGAATATATATTTCTAAGATCGGTTCCTTATACTCTCATCGGAAAAGTAGAAGTGGCCACACTCTCACTAATACTCTGCCACATTGATGGTTGTAATGACTTAACAAACACACACACATACACTCGGGCGAACCTGCAAACATTTAACCAAACACACACACACAATACTTGGAAGAAACGCAACGGAACTGTTAACAAGTGAAGAAGACGGTAGAAAAAATCCAGCAACAACAACAATGAGACACCAACTAACCGTGTTTATTGTGCGGTGCACCGTGTGTGAATAGACAGACACTAGATCCGTTCGTTTAGTAAGAGATGAACCGTCATAGAGGATACACGCGTTTTTCTTTTACCACATTGAAAAAGATTCTGAAAATAAAAAAATTCTAAAAGAAGAACAAAAAGAAAAGAAGTGGTCTCATGAGAGAGAGAAGAAATATTAAAAAGTTCTAAATTAAAAAAATGGAAAAATAAAATATTTTAAGAAAATAATTCAAACCAATAAGAATTTAAAAAAAAAATACAATTTTCAAAAAGAGAAATAAAACTAAAAAATGTGCAAATTATGTTTTATCCAAAGCAAACATTAGTGGAAAATTTGAAAAACACAAAATGACAAAACTCAAAAAGAATTTAAAATAAAAAAGAAACACAGCATAGCCAAGCAAAACCAAACCAAGTGTTCACAGTATTTTAGCAATCCAACACGCCAAGGATTAGTGTTAATTGCTAAAACTGTTGAAAAAAATTATTTGAAAAACAAAAATCCCACCAAGTGTATATTGTGAAAATTAAAAAAATAAAAACAATTTCGTAACAAAAAAAATTCCAACACAATGCCTAAAATTTTCCTAATCAAAAATCGCTTGCACCAGCAGCAACAACGTCTATTGGAATCACAAAATCTCTTGCAAGACAAGAGCAATGAAGATGATCGTTTGGTACCACCGTTAAGTCCTAAACGCGATCGCGAACGTCAACGTGAGCGTGAACGTGAACGTTCATCATCGCCCCAATATCAACCACGTCCCCACCAGCCATATCCTCAGCCGGAGGATTTTACGCGCAACCATTCATCCCCGTCATCGTCGCCTGCACACACGAACATAGCCTCCACCTCAGATTCCCTTAAAGCTCTGCACATACACAGCCAACAGCGGCAACAAGATGTTGAGGATACCCACAAGGCCTTTGGCCTGGCCAGGTCTCGTTCCCAATCGCCCATCAAGGTTTTAGATTTACACAAAAAATCCTCAACATCCTCGACAAAAGTAACCACCAAATGTCGAGCGGCCGAGGACTATGAAGGCGAAGATGATGAAGACCAACAACCATTGAGTTTGGTATCGTCCCTAACCTATTTGGGACGTAAACGTTTCCAACAGTATCATCGTCACTTGAGGACAGCGGCAGCAGCAACAGCAACAGTTTCGACGACGCCAACGATTCCTACGACGACGGCGACATCGGCAAACACATCACCGGCAGAGTCTACAATTGATGATAAGGATAATGTTGCAACGACTGATAATGCCAAGGAAGAGAATAATGAAGGTAAGTTTGGAAATGTTTTCTTCTTCTTTTTTTTTTGTAAAAAATTGGATTTAGATAAGACGAATGGAACTATTCGAAGGCCTGTGAAATTTTGAAGGAAATATTAGAAAAGTAAAGGAAATATAAAATGTTATACCGAAGATATGGTCGAGGATGAGATTTTCAGGGTTGAAAATATGAAAAAATTTTAATGGGAACATTTTTCTTTTTAAAACGAACAGGCTGCAATCCAGCCTTACATATTAAGTTTTCTACTTTTTGACTACTGAGATAGGGATTAAAGTTCTAGACCCACGTTTTGAAAAATATATAGCAATTGGAAATTCAATATCAGGGCTATTTTATCAATTTGCTCCGATATACCTGTAAGACGATTCCAAAGAGAAATAAATTCAGGATTAGAATGCAGGCCCGTTACATAGAAATATAAAAACTGAACGATGGGACCCTAAATGGGTTATGATTCTAAAATAATGCAAACTTAAAAAATTTAAAACTAAAAAAATTGCTCATGATTGGAATTCTGCTTGAAAGAGTAAGGAATAACCTGACGGATAGATCAAATACATGCATACGAAATTAGAGGTCTTACAATTAAAAAAAAACTTGTTGAGAAGTTTATTCCAAAAAAAAAAAATTAAAAATTAAGCAGAAATTTCAGAAAAAATAAATAAAGAGGAAAAATATGGAAAATTATGTGGACTATAAAACTCAGGAAAATCAGTCTATAAAACTATTTGAAAATTAATATCCTAACACTTAATATCCTAAAAATTAATATCCTAAAACTATTTGAAAATTAATATCCTAACACTTTGGGAAAATAATTTTCTTAGAAGAAAGTAACATTCTCACTTGCTATTCTTATATTTCGAAAAATATTAAAATAAATCAAAGAGAAATTTTCATCAAAAAAATATGAATTTTAAAGAAGCCCTCAAAACCCATATTTTTTAATAAAACCTAGAAAAAAATATATAAATATTTTTCTTAAAAAATGGGCTGAGAATATCAGAATGGCATTCTAAATGCTTTTGAAGAATTCTATCTTAGAATAAAAAATCATAGCCTGTTCATTAAAAATAATATTCTGAAAAAAAATTAAAAGAAATAACCGCAATTTATTAAGAAAATATTTTAAGAAAAATAATAAAGTTTGAGGAATTGAAAAATTATTCTGAAGAAGATCGAAAACTGTCTGGCTTCCAAGGAATCACTTAAGTACCCATATTTTTTCTCATAAAATATGAAAACAAATGGAGTATTTTTCAATACAACCTAGAAAAAATATATAAATATTTTTCTAAAAAAACGGCTGAGAAAATCATTATGGCATAACTCAAAATTCTTAGAATAAAAATAATGTGGCACCGAAAAATATTCAGAAAATTTTTTTCGAATAAATTACCGTATTTTGTTAAGCCAAAAATATGTCCAAAAATAATAATATCTGAGGAATTGAAAAAATATTGTGAAGAAGCTTGGAAACTATACGCCTTTCAAGGAATCACTCAAACACCCATCTTTTTCCCTAGGAAGTCTAAAAATAAAGAATTCAAAGTATTTTGAAAAATTCTATCTTAGAATAAAAAAAATATAGTCTGTTCATAAAAACAGTGGTACAGAGAAAAATTCCGAAAAAAAAAACTTTTTAGAATAAATAACCGCATTTTGTAAAAAAAATATTCATTGAGTAATTGAAAAATTATTCAGAAGAAGCTTGAAAACTATCCGACTTTTTCCAAGGGAATTTAAGATTCTGGATTAAACTTTTAAAATTATCCAAAATTTAAATAATATTAAAAATCCCATGAACTTTCTATAATCGCAATCAAAAATTAAAAAAAACCGTAAAGAAAGGTCAAAAGTGGGGCAGAGATACCCTACGCCGCCACGTATATTCAGTAGAGCCATGTGTGACAAATAAACATTTATATTGGAAATTTATGTTAAGTAGATCATAACAACTATGAAGCTTTTTTTGAATGCTTCAGAGTAGCTAATTCTAGGGAAAGGATGTTGGGTGGGAGTATAAAGAGTTTTTAATAAAAAATCCCTCTGAAGTGCATTTCCACAATACATCATCCTAAGAATGAAAAAAACTCTCATAAATTTGTAGTGATTTCAAACAAAAGACTTAAGAAACAAACTTGCTGTCTTTCGAAATAATGATTTGTATGAAGGCAGAGGATCGGGTCGAGAGGGTAAAGATTGCCTATAAAGAGGTTTATAGATTGCCTAACATATTCCATATCCTACTTCGTTTCTAATTTTCAAAATGACCTCTAATTTTCAAAATAATGCTTTTTTTTAATTCTTTTAATTTTTGTAAAGTTACTAAACCCATTTACTCTACGAAAGACTTAAGCGACAAACCTACTATTTTATAATAAGTATTTTTTCAATTTTTTCCTTTTCCTATTTTATTTATTTCGAAGTTTTTCTGTTTTATGTTTTCCTTGTTGCTTGTTTTAGTTATCTAGAACAAAAGACTTGGGCAACCAACCACTTGCCACTTACATGACCTGTCATTTGAGAATAGGCAATAATTAAATTAACACCTCTTTTTTTCTTCTGAAAGAACAAACTTGCCAACAAAATGCAACAAAATACCCGCAAATATCAAATGCAAAATATAATAATTTACTATATTGTATCGAGAAGAAAAAAGCCCCCCAACTATTGTTCAATAAAGATAACAAAACAGACAGTGCCTTTGGACAGACAGCCCACCAAACAAAATAAACAGCTTAACAAAATACTCAACAATACAGAAAATGACTACTGAAATTTACAACAAAAACATACACCCATACCCATGTAAGATAACAATATAACATAAGTAATTTGCAAGAGCAGCAGTAGCAAAAAAAACAGTTTTTTTAATATTTTTTGGGGGTGTGTTTCAAACCACTACTGTGACATGTCTCAAAAGAGATAATTGTCTTGGGTCGTATTGTTTGAAGTAGAAAAACGCTTGAAAACATATGTCGTGGATTTTATTTTTTTATTTTTGGTTTTTGTTTTAATTATTTGACTAATAAAACGTCATTTGGTTATACAGAAACTTATTAAGATTTTTGATTTTTAGCATTTTTTTATTGTTGTCTCTGTGTGACTGAAAACAACTTGAGGTGCTTTTAAGCAGAAAAAAAAACTTTAACTACAAATGTGTTTTTAGATAAATCTTGGCTTAAATTTGTGTGTGTGGGCTGTTGAAATGAAATATATACCAATTGTTTGATCTTAGCATTTGTTTACTTTTTTTCAACTCGATAGCTATTATAATCAAAATCTTTGTTAATATGACAGCTATTTATTACCATAGACATCTATTTATATACATATATATATATTTATATTTTTTCCATAATTTTGTTGTTGGTTTTTAGCTTATTTTATTGCTGAGAAATATGATAAAAATATTTTAGATATCAATCACTTTCGTTAGTTTGCAAAAAAACTGCAAGAACAACAGTTTAAAGAGTTTTCAAGTTGTTTATGTCGAAAATAAAATTTCTGTATAAACATAAATAGAGAAAAATAAACAAAAAGAGCGTAAAAGTAAATAAAAAATTATTCACAATATTTTTTCTATTTCTGAGAACGTATAGAGATCTGATAAATTCTGGAGGTAGACTAAATCAAATTTTTTCTTAGAAAAATTGGAAATATTTTATTTTATTTCTGACAAATGAGGTTCTTCAGATCCCACCTAAACATGTATTTATAAAAATAGGAGTAATATATACTAAAAACGACTTTATGGTGTAGAATATAGAACTTGGAAGGAAGGTGGAAGCTGTTTAAGTCAATTCAATTAAAATCTTTTTTTTATTTGCCTAAAGCCACTGAGCCATTGAACCGATAGACACATCTTCATAACTTTTAGTTTTCATTAAAAATTTTACTAAAAATTTATTCAGCAAAAATCGAAAAAAATTATTCTAAAGTCATTTTTAGAAATTTGCCACAGGTTTCTACCAAAGTGTCTAAATCAAAAGACTTAAGAAACAAACCTTGTATTTCTTGATAAATTAATTTAAAAAAATGCTTGAAAATTTAAAATATTGCAGAGTTACATTTCCAAAGTAAATCATCATTAGTAAAACAAATGGAATCAATATTCCAAATCAAAAGACTTAAGAAACAAACCTGCTGCCAGCCAACAGAATTATTTTTAAGTATAATTTAATTAAAATGAAAAAAATATTAAACGGTTAGGTCGTGACTATTGAAAAGTGCATATGGACTGAAAGAGAACAGCTTTCTTCCTACCAAATATCTCCTTGGCCTTTTTTTGGATTTCAGAAGTCGTGTAAAGTTTTTCAGAGTAACGTTTGAAAAATCTCATGAAATCAAAAAACTTAAGAAACAAACGTTGGATTCATTGATCTCATTCAAAAGACTTTTTGATATTTCAGGAGTTATGGCCTGAAGGCATTTTTATCTAATTTTTTTTTTTTCAAAATAAATTTCGAAAAATCTCATGAATTTATAGAAATCTAAAGACTTTAGAAACAGATTTTGGTTTTTTTTTTTGAAGTAGAATAATTTCAGAAAACGATTTTAATTTAAAATATTGCGGAGTTTCATTTAAACTTGCATTTATCTCAATTCAAATTCCACAAATTAAAAAAATGCTGAATTTTTAAACCGCTTTTCTTCAATTAAATTAATTTTATTACCTACTGATATATTGAGAAATAATTCTAATGCTGACCTTACATCTATTTAGAGAAAGGGCTCAAAAATAAAACCAAAACCCCAATTTTTTTCACGGAATTAATGTCATATGTAATAAAGACCAAATACTCCACTTTTTTCCGGTTTTGTTAAGGAAATAATCTTGAGCTTGTCAATATTTGTTCTAATCACCACCAATCTATTCCAGATTTAACTAGATAAATCGCCTAAATATTTATCACCTCACGCCCTTTTTAAAAATTCCAAAAAAAAAATGTTTGACATTTTTAAACAAATTTCCCCTCCAAAACCCA